CATCATCACCATCCACTACTCGACGCCAGCGCTCAGGCAGCTTGTCGATTCCTTCCTTCCAGAACGACGGGGCTGGGACTTGAAGAAGTCGTCGAGTGCCTTTCTGACCTGATCCTTTGTTTCGAACTTTTTTCCGTCCAGAGAGCGCTGCAGGTGGCTGAACAGCCAGTAGTCAGAAGGAGCGAGGTCAGGGCTGTAGTAGTCAGAAGGAGCGAGGTCAGGGCTGTAGGGAGGGTGGGCGACCATCAGCCATCCGTACTTCTCCAGCTCGGCCTGGGTCGCCTTTGCAGTGTGAGGTCGGGCGTTGTCATGGTGGAAGTAGATTTCCGCATTCCTTCCACGAGTACGGTCGACGTGATCTTTCAATTTCCGCAGCTGGTATGTGGAAGCGTCAATCGTCTGTCCCTTCTCCAGCAGCTCCCAGTACTCCATGCCTCTTCTGGACCACCAACAGAACAGGGGAACCTTTTGGTGTGAAGGTCGGCCTTTGAGGTGGCTTCTGGCTGTTCTCCTTTGTCGACCCACTCCTGCTCCCTCACAGGGTTATCGTAGAGGACCCACTTCTCATCTCCAGTGATCATCGAGTTGAGAACGCGAAGCTTCTTTTGTGAATCGTTAAGCAAAACCAGGCAGTGGCGCAGGTACATTCTGTCACAGTGGTAATTGTGCGACATTGTGTACTGCAAATGCAAGCTCGGTGAGTGATAGCTAGTGTAATGAAAGAGTATAATGTACACGTCACGCACACGTGATGACGTAATACCAACATCCATGCGAACGAAATAGGAGAGGATCAAACACGTGTATAAGAACTTATGCGACAACCTAACATCGTGGATGCAATGAACTAGACCCTACACCGGGCCTTAGCTTGATTACTATGTGGATGACGTCTACGGACAACTTGAACTCAATCCCTTTGAACGCGTCGATCTTCTCTTTTTCTCTGCACTCTCTCGTCCGCATGGCACTCTATGGCCGTTGTGACTTCGCTCACTCCAGCTTTTCACCGACTATAAGTAGCTCACCCACCCCGGAGTCCCCTCCCCTTGAAAAATCCCGTTTCCTGGCTCGCCATACGTTTTTGCACGTTTCGATGCTTTGGCAGCCGCTGCCCTCTATCCGTCTGCGTCACAGGGTTTCGTAACAGGACCATGCACAAAAGTTCAAGATGTCAGGCTCAGCTGTTCAAAGGGGGCATAGTCAGAGTCCGCACTGGGGTCCTACCGCGCGCGTTACCATAATCAACACATCGAGATGCTGCCTTTCAGGTCTAGATTCCTGCGGCCGCGGTCTTTTGAAGTGAAACTCCGTGCATCAGTCCTTGTGAGCCGGTCGGATCGGAAACACCCGTCGCCTCAATATTGTCAGGTCTTCAAACTCTGCCGTTTCCTTGCCGCACTCATCTACCCCGACGCCTCGTGTGGCTGCCGTCCCGCGCAGCCACCCGTATCGTCTAGGCGTCGGACGCATTCGACAACGCAAGCCACTTGCAGGAGGAGTACAACCTTGCAGGTAACTCTTGACCCTCTGAACGTAGCTAGTCGTTGCACCTGAGCACAGCCACGTGCCCGATCAAGGCCAAGAGGGCGCTTGCTTCTTTGTTTCTTTCCTTAATTGTAGATGATGTTTCAAGTATAACGGTCTTCTTTCATGGATTGATTCAGTGACTTTCTCTTCTCATCTGGCTTTAAGTACACTCTAGTTCGCTGCGGACGGTTGGGCGTGTCAGGCAGTATGAGTGTTCACACCATCAAAGCCGTTCTCTGCCTTCTTGTTGAAGCGCGCATGCGACAAAAAGTAGAAAACGAGTAATACGAACGATATGATACAGTCATATCATTTGCTCGCTTTAACAACTGGTGGAGAACGGGTTTGGCATCGCGCCAAACTCATTCCGCCTGACACGCCCAACCGTCCGCAGCGAATTACACTATATAAAGACGTGCCTGCGTCGCATATTTTTTGCTCCGCTTAAACTTGTGCTAGGTTTTTTCCTTCTTGCCTCGCTCAGGATTCGCGGAAAGGACGGCAAGCAACCTCGGAGTTCTGCGCACCTGGCCAGATAGTCCGCTGCATTTGACATCTTGGTCTGTACCGCAGTTGGCCTCACAAAGGATGTGTTCCCTCAGTGGAAAGTCACTATTAGCTCCCCACGATTCTAGGACTACTCCATCACGCGTGGCAAAGGCTTTGGTAATGGGCCCGCAGGACCCATCAAGTAGCCTGACCACGCCCCCTCTCGGGTATTTTGCCATAGCACAGGGGTACCAAAGAGGGGGCACTCTTTTTTTTCGCGTCGCGACAGATTCTATCACCCATCTCACGATAGACAACGAATTGCCAATAATAGGCAGATGACCACTCCTCCTTAATCACAAACAACTCCACTTACAGTTTATTGGTAGCCCAACAGAAAAGAACAATACTCACAGAATTAAACTCACAAGAACAGCAATCAGACCAAAGTTGCTGTCACACCACTCATCCTTGGTTCTAAGCTACGGTAATTAACCAGCTTTAACAAAATATAAGTAATGTTCATGAACTATTTGCGGAGAAATTTATCCTGCTAAACATGATGAGATGAAAATCAACAACTCTGCTATTATAACTCTGTTGTACATATGTATAGCAAAAAAAAGAGAAAACAAAACCAATAAAAATGTAACAAGTAATCAACTTGTCAAATATCACCTTTGACAACCTCAAACAGTTGAAATAACAAACAAACAAAAAGTGAAACAAGACAAAATAAAGAGCTATGTTTCAAGTTCATAAAAGTCTGATACATAAAAGTCGTCAACGTCCTGTTACGGCCTCCACCTTGGCTTTCCACGGCCTTTCCCTCGTCGCGGAGGTGCAGCGGTTGACTCGCCAGATCTTCTTTTCATTGGGAGGATTTTTAGCATTGATTGCGACGACGACGGCTGCTCTGTATTACGAGAAGACGACTTTACTCGAGTTGGACGCACAGTACACCTGAATATGTGGAAAACTTCGACTCGATCATCTGCTTTGATCTGAAAATGAATACCCCGAAATGAAAAAAAAACAGGCAAGGTTTGTGACGAGCAAGCCTCTGACCTACAACTGAGACTCTAGCCTGCTAACTTGAGGCATTTCGTGAGAGTGAGCGAAGCCTTACGAGGTGGGCAGAGCTTTTCGTTGCGGGCGAGACTACTAGTGGCAGTCCAACGTGAAAATTTTCAGAAAGGACAACAATTTTGCAAAAAGACACAAAAGTGGTCGTGTTATAGGGGAGTAGCCTAGCAAGTCGGTGCGGTCGGTGCATAAATAGAGATTTAAAGGATTTAAGCGCCTGCGGATTTTCCCTTGTGTCGATGTACAGTACTTTTTAGGTACTGTGAATGTGCGAAATAAAAAAAGACAGCTATTCAAAAGAACACTCCTGACTTCATGCAATCACCTGCTTTTGCGAAAGGAAAAGGAAAGCACTCCTCGGTGTCACATAAGTCTCATGACAGCGATTATGCACAAGGGAACCTTTCAAATTGTCTGGGGGATATTTCTACCACCCTAACGTCTTCTTGCAAGCCGCATTTCTGCAGACTAATACGAATCGCCCGTCTCACTTTTTCCAAACTAAACGGCGAACAGAATGGCACTTTATCAGAAGATGTTCTGTTCGTAAAAATCCTCTACGTAACGAAAATCCTCTACGTAATGGTCGCGACCCCGAGTAAACGCTAGAACCTAGGTATTTGAATATCGTACATGTCTGTGCAGTTATGCTTACTTAGCGGTTCCAAAAATATTGGTAATGCACCTATGCGTGCATCAAACGAGTAAATGAGGTAACTCATCAAAAATGGAATTCTTATCCAAAAGAAGTAGCCTCAAAGGCAGCTGGCACGATAAGTCCCTAAAACAAGTAGGATTAATACGCCTGGCAGGACGGAATACCGTTACCCTCAGCAGGAGCTGCGTAGCGTTTTTTCTTAAAGAGGCATCATTATAGGGTCGATACAACATACTCAGACACCCACCGTGCCGGCCCGCCCACGAATGGACGACCATTCCAACTGCTCGTATTGCTTCATTTGCGAAGTAAAATATGAAGCGAAGGGTTTGACATGAAGCGGCCGCGGTGCTGCATGGATATATGAGTACATACGTGCAGCCGTATCTACCAAGCGGTTATTGGCAAGATGCCTAGGAGAAACTTTTCCAAAGTTGCTTTTTGAGCCACTTGGAATGAAGGCTCGGTGAAGCAAGGTTTTTAACTTTTTCACTTCGTTTTTTCGCCACTCTTACTATAAAGCACCCTGCTAGCATTTTCGACCGAGCACCAATTACCGTGCCATATGCCTTCAATCCCAGGTGTCGAGCTATCCATTTTTCCTTTTCACTGAGTCATGTCATCACATGCATCGTCAGCACCCTCTCACTCGTTTTCTGACCCAGTGCCCCCCCCTCCCACTTCCAACAGTACCTTGCTTTCAACACCAAAGTAATTAAAGACCATAAAAGGACGTCTAGTCCAATGCAGTGGCACCTTCAAACCTCTCTATGGCCTCAGTCATATCTTGCTAGAGAAAGAATCAGGAAACAGAGTAAGAGAATGTAGTCAAACGAAAGTATAGGTACCGATACGGCGAACTGCGAGAATGAGAGGTCACGAAAACGAATAGGCGGCAATGGCAATCTAATGTTTGATACTTCTATAGTTGATGTCGTTGCAGTCAGTAGAGGCAGGTCAGAGGTGCGAAATGAGCCCGTCACCGGCTTGCCTTTCCTATCCAATGGGAAGGAAGCAACATGGTGAACCTTTCGGATGGGCTAATTCTATGGCTCTTGAAAACGCCCCGACTGATTGCGACAACATCAGTTGTAAGTTCCGTTGGCGAGCAGTCTCTTCTTCTCCCAAGTTGCAGGATATAAAAGCGGCCCACCTGACTAAAATCCTTTCAGCAACTACTTTTGAACAAAAGCACTCCGCGTTAATGACCACATCGTTCGAATTTGAAATACGCAACTTACTGCTTCTTCACAATGAGAGGAGTCGATGTGAACAATTCATTTGGCTCAAAGTGAATGTCATCATCTGTGCGGGCGCTGGAAAAACCTTTTGACTTTCCAAAGCAACGTAATATCCCAAGGGAAGTTCACAGACTCAAAAGAAATGCAATGAAACCTCGGCCGCAAACAAAGCAGACTAATCAGTACAATTGAACCCAGCAAAGACATCTGCCGATTCCGAGTGAAGCGAAAGTGGCTACTCACGGTTTACGAGGACTGTGCTTATCTTGAGTCGCTCCCAAATTTTTCTTAAGCGGAGTGTCCGTGCTTAAATCGCCAAACAAGTCATCATTATCGTCATTCTCCACCATCATACTGTCATCCAGATCCACTGCAATATCACGCTCTAGAAAAACTAGGCTTTGACTTGCTATCCGAGCCTGTTCCATTTTTTCAAGACATATTGGAAAATAATTACTGAATTCGTCGGCTAGTGTTGACGCAAGAGTATTCGTGTGCTGTAATTCGGAGCTCTTCACCTGAAGAAGTAGACAATAGAAGACAAGTGGCGTACAAAACCCAAAAGATAAAAACTATCGGCGGGAAAACTTCAATTACTCACACCGTCAGAGTCAATATTCCGAGTGTCCACTTGCTCAATATCGTCACCGTCATTATCACAGGTTTCAAGATTATTTCTGTATTTTCTGACTTCTCCAGCTCCTTCTCTAGTTGCCTAGAAATTCCAGCATAGCAACGCATTCGCGAGAGGTTTAAAGTCAAAAATGCTAGGGACTTTGTCGGGCCCATTTGTCTTATGAGCACCTATTTTCTCCATTCCAGATGCAATCTCAGGATTGATGAGTTTTGTTGTGAAAGATATGCTTGCTTGTTTGATGTGAACGGAACTCTTCTAATATTTCATGTGATGAAATTTCGGGCAGTAAACCCAACTACAGGTCAACAAAAACAACTAATGTATCACGCCTAAACGTATCAAGAGCTCAACCAGCAAAACACAGAAAACGAAAAATTATCAACAACTGACCAGGTAAGAAATTTGGTCAAAGGACACGCGGGTTGATCCTGAGAGCCCTGTGGGCACCAGGAGGGACAACCCGCTCCTCCTTGACCAAATTAACCTTGTCAGTTGCTGATAAGCTCTCGTTTTCTGTACTCAGTAGTATATTTCAGTTCTTAATTCTGCTGAGACGTGATGCAATAGTTGCTTTTGTCAGTGTGAGGACGGGCTCACGGCTCAAACGTCGTCACGCAAAAAAATTAGATGAGTTTCGTCCACATAAAACAAACAAATATACCGTTTTAAATTTCATGGATCTCGGCATGGTGTGAAAAATTCTGCGATGTACTACTCTAACCTCAACCGAGATGTTATAGCAACTTGTCTGGCTTTTGCCATTGCCTTAATTGTATACTAGTTTTGTTGACACCGTCGCTATACCGCTAAAGATGTGGGTTGTAGCCACTGCACTACATCACAGCCTCAGCTGTCAATAGAACCATGACCTCATGCTTTCTGGGCAAGAGTGCTTTGGTGACACAGAGCAAATATGTAAAGCGGCGATTAAAGGAATATCTTAATATAATTGAATCCACATTGGCACTCACCGATACTCCCTGGATAGGTACTTTCTTCTGAACACTTTTGTTGAGGTAACGTTCCCGGTGATTTCTCTGCATGAATGCCCAGCTTTCTGTGACTGCCGGGCTTTTCAGGAATTTTCGGTGTTACCTAAGTGAGACCTAGTTTGACATATTCTGTTACTATTGCAAAATAATAAATAATCGAGCTAATAAATAAACGGGGAAATTGTCAAGGACCCCTTTCAACAAACAAGTACACCTATAAAGGGTAAGCATGTAGGAGCTGCCCTTTCAGTAATTCGCATGATTCGATGGAAGGTAACCACCAACTCGCAAGAACAACTTTACAACTTTACAACAACAATACGTTCACATCGTGCAGAAATCTCACCTTCTCTGACTGCTTATTTGCCTTCGACTTCTGTTTTGGAGTTCTGAGCTTTTGCGGACTTGTATTGATCTGTGAGCGGCGGTTTTTCTGGTCCATTCCTTGCTCTTTGGTGTCTTCTTCCCCAAAGCCCTTAACAACAACGTGGAATAGCGGAAGAGTTGACTATATGGTTTTGTACCTAGCCTTGAACGATAAGGGCCACTGAAAACCACTTGGCAAGGTTTCGAGAAACCAGCGAGCTCTCATTTCAAATACTCACATGCGTACCGACCATTTTGCAAGGAAGTGACCTTGTCATATGACAAGACGCACTGGGGGCTTTTCGACTCCTTTAACTGCTCATAGATGGAAATTAAGAGGCATGTCCCACCGCTAAAAAAGAAAATATTCTTTGTATAAATAGCAACCCATTGTACATCAAAAATTTCCCTAACTCAGATGCGGTCTCCTCTCTATATTACTAATCATCCTTCTGAGTTTTCTGGCCTTCGCACCCTTTTTTTTCGGTAAATTATCCCCCTCGCTGAGGATAATGGTGAGCCCAGAAAGAACGCTAACTGCAGCTTTGCAGTTAGCTGCACGGAATGTACGTCAAGGATTACCATTCTCTATTTTTGCCTCTTGCCCACCAGCTGCACAGTTCGTAGATATTTTCTCTTTTGATGTAACATTCGCCGCTTCTTGCATATGACAGAAACTCTCCTGGAAAGAGCTTTTCTATCAGCGGACGAAGAAAAAAAAACCATGTTGGCGACTTGAGTCCTAAGCAGCAACTCACCTTAGCAGCCGCCAGCTCATCAGCTTTGGTTGATAGCTGATGCTTGATTAAGTGTATCTCGCCTTCCAACTCATATTTCTTGTTCTGCATATCATCTGCTTCGGTCTCCAGCCTTAACACCTCAGCCTCCAACCCTGCCACTTCTGCCTAAAAAAGAAATGCAAATCGCTCAGTAATGCAAGCAAAACGTTTGGAAGGGACATTGAATAAAGGATAGCACATTTTCATCTTCGAGCTCCCTTTGTTTTGCCAGCTTGTTTGATTCTGCACCTTTTCGAAGATCTTCAATTTTCAAGTTCTGCAAAGGAGATTACGTGAAATGCAGTAGTCTTTACATTCATTCCGTCAAGAGATTGACGTATTTTACTGTGTATAAAAAGTCGCGACTCCCACCTACCTCTAATTCCAGAGTTGCCCTTTTCGACTCAATCTTCATTCGCAGTTCTTCGCATTCTTTCTCCATTTGAGGCAGCTTTGACTGCATTTCTACAGTTTGCCTGTTAGTTTCTCCGAATTCATTGAGTAAACGTTCCGATTCCTTTAGTTTCTCACACTGAAATCCTGACTATTCAGAAGATTAACTGGTCCGTAAGTGATATGAAAAATTTCAGGTAACTGATGCGTTTCCAGTGATTTACTTATTTACTTAACACACCGTGAAAATAAAAAGCGGAGCGTTGGCAACTAGTGTCTTCCTCGCGCTTGGTTGAAAAGGACACGTCCCGGATCGGCTGCCTTCTCCCACCCCGTCAACCAACTAAATCTTTCAGTTCTCCGACGTCTGGTGCCAGACTCGTTTAGGAGGGTAAAACTGACTGGCACATCAGATGGCTTCCGCAAGTCATTGTGTGGTCCATATCGCATTAAAAACGCCACCTTGATTCCCAAAACACTTAAAAAGCGCAGTGTATTCCAGGAGGGATTTATCAACACCGGGACCTTCATCCTTCATTTACATCATACGACAAGGCCCCCAGCATGGATAATTCATATTATTTTCATTTCAATTTTTCAATTTCTTACGGTAATCATTATGACTGAAGGCATGCTCCGCCTTCATTTGATTTTTAGACACTTTCGCTAGACATGGTAGTCCTGCTCGGAAGGATGTACTTACTTCCCAGCTCAAAAATACGTGTGGAAAGCGCGACCCGCTCACTACGAGGCCACGCTCTGCCCACTGGTCACCGCAACACCCACTGGCCACGGCGACGCTATATTTCGAATGCCGAGAGCGA